AGAAAACTTTTCTACTGAAATATTTCTGCATAAATCATTTCAACAAATATTTATTAAGAAGACCCTCTCACCAGGGTGGTGAAAAGACAAGGATACTCATTGGCTTGAACTTACAGTAGGAGAGAGAGCAAGCACACATTGTTTTAGGAGCCATGTAAAGAAAGGGTTTCAGACAGGAAGGAGTACTCAACCCTGTCAAGGCTGCTGGGTCTGATAATTGGCATGGTAGATAAGATGTTCAGAAGAGTGATGAGAATGAAAGCCTGATCAAAGGAGCTTCAAGAGCGAATGGGAGGGGGAGAAATGGAGATAGCAAATATAGTCAGCTCCTTTTCAAGGCCTTTATCTGTAAAGGGAGCAGTGTGCTTGCCTGGCAACACTGAGGGCCCACTTTGAAGTTTGTGGTCATGAACTTAAAGTAAAACAATCAATACAGTTGTATGTTTCTCTCGAGTCTAGTCAGCTACTTGGTAAAGGTATGGAATAGAACAGGTTTGGGATTTGGCAGATGAATACTGACAGAGCAAGAAAGGAGCAAGGCAGGGATTGGAGTGGTGGGAAATTAAGATTTAAAGGTAATAATAGATGCTAAAATAAGAAAAGTGATAGGGTTAGTGGGTTGGGGTTCTGGGAGAAGTGTTAGAGTGGAAGGATTAGGGGAAGTGGGAAGGGTTGTTCAATTGTGAGGTACTTGAAATTGAGATGTTAAGGTCTAAGATAGGATCCCAGAAGTGAATCCAGGATAAGGTCATCAGAGGCCAGGTGTTGATGGACTGTCCACATGATATGTAAAGTAAGAGTAATGAAAAGGGTAGAGGTGGAAAAAGAATAAGTCCATTGCTGAATTCTTCAGTGATTGAAGGGGTGCTGTCAAGGATTCTATTGGGTTGTCGGAAAAGTCATGACGTATTTTTCCTGTTTTTCGTTGCAAAAATGCGTCATGACTTTTCCGACAACCCGATAACACCGGTAATCTGGTAATCAGGATGTGTTGAGAGTGGAATAATCTGTTGGCATGGCCTCGGAGGAACTGTGTTTTGGGGGGAAGTAGGAGGAACAATGATCTGGAAATAGTTGTGATCAGCAAGGAGGACGTTTACCTCCCCACAAGCCTCAGGAGTGCGGAGTGCAGGAGAGAAATGGCGTCCCTAACAGTGCTGTAGGGGAAACAGTGTCCTCAGGCAAGAGCCAGTTTTCAGGTAGAGCACGAACTGTATGGCTATTCAGAAAAGAGGATTTAATGAAAATTACAGATTTGAGAGTGGTGTTTTTAAAATTATAGAAATACTTATATTGACAAAGAAACCTGGCCAAGTATAGAAAAGGCTAAGGAAAAAATTACCTATAGTTCTGTCAGCCAAGAGAACCATGTTAATATTTTTGTGGGTATTTTTTTGGCTTTTTTCTTTTATTCTGAGCCTCTTTTTTTAATGGTATTTTTATTTGTATTCATACAAAAGTATATTCTGAGTAAGAAAACTTTAAGCTTTTTATGATTATAAATATATAGTCATTATAGAAAATTTGGAAAATGCTGAAAAGTATAAAGAAATAAAGAAAAATAGTCAGGATCACAACACTTAGAGGTCACATTACTACTGTTAACAGTATTACTTTACAGTCATTTTTAGTCTTTTTTGTTACATTTCTACTGTTTGTGCTGATTGTTATTAAGCTTGGTCAGCATTAGAGTATTCACAGGTTCTATATGAAAGATAGCGTGGAGTTTTTATTTTAAGGCAATAAAATTTTGAGATGATTAATTAGGTAGCAAGGTCTTAATTCAAAGACAATAAATGAACAGGTACAGGGTAACACTTAAGAATGATTCATTATTGTAAAGAGTCCATATCTAAAGTATATGTTTCTCTTTATATGGATGAGGGGGAAAAATATATATATTCATCCCTGAATGTTATGTGTATGTCTCTGGGTGTTGTAATTTTTTTTTTCATATATATATATATATATATATATATATATATACACACACACACACACACACACACACACACACACATATATATATTTTCATTGTGAAATAAACGTTTTTTTTTTAATTAGTTTCAGATGTACAACACAGTGCAATAGTTATACTTTTTACCCCTCAAAGTGACAACCTCCCTCCCCCAATCCGCCGCCCCACTCCCCCCCATATCATACATATCTGTTACAATTCGCTTGACTCCACTCCCACACTATACTCCATGTCCTGTGACTATATATATATATTCACTTATAGTTGACATACAATATTATACAACATCAGCTTATGTTACAATGCAGTGATCAAGCCTCTACCCCATCCATGAAGCGGTCTCCCTAACACGACATGTGACTATCTGACACCCTACAAAATATTTACAACATTATTAATTATATTCCTTGAACTGTCTTTCATATTCCTGTGG